GGCAGCCGCCAGCTGCTGGAGGGGGAAACACGAGGGAGCGTGGCCTGGCAGGTGCCCGGGGGAGCGGGATCTCTCCGCTCTTCTGCCTCCTCCCAAAAGAGCAGTCCCCGGGACCGGCCGGCAGCTGGAGGACAAAGTACAGCCGGGGCGATGTGCAGGAGATGTGAGCGGGGCAGTGGTTTTGGCCCGCGCTGGGTTTCGCTGCGCCGAAAGCCGGTGCTTTTCTCCTGCAGGCGAAGGGGGTGTATGGCTCAAATGCGTCCTTGCTCTCCTACCTGCATCTCCCTAGGTCTGTTCATGGAAGGATTCTGCAGCGTACGGACGCGCTAGGCATTTTCATAGAATCCCTGCTGAAGACTTAGTAAGATCCTCTGTACTGCAAAATACCCCTTGCGTTGTGGGGCAGAGTAGTGGGGAAAAGGAGATTTTTGGGCCGTCTGTGTTTTGCGGAAGTCCTGTGGTGCTAAGTTTGCACGGGGAACACCAGAGGCGGACCAAAGAGGAGCAAACCGTCCCCACTGCCCTGCTCTCCCAGGCTTTCCCAGGTACAAGACCCTACCTACCTTCCTACACCACAAACTAGGATGGCAGTCGCCGGGCGACACACCTTGGGAGCCCGTCAGCTATGGATAGGCTGCCAGGGGATCCAGTTCCATCGCAGCAGCCTCCGGGGAGGTCTCTAGAAAAGGCTGATTTCCTTGGCTGGTTGATGCAAGAGCACGGAGCGCTGCACCCCTTCTGCACACTCCCTGCTGGCGGTACAGTGTGCCACATACCGTGTGCCACAGTCACGCAAGCGGTTTTCCCTGACTTCAGCTCACTCTGCGATTTTCCAATATCCGAGCTGACTTGCAAAGTGAATAGGTTTTTAAGTGAAAAACAGACACGAGTATAGGATATATGCAGCAAATTGATGACATATCTCCACTAAACAGCCGGGTTTGAACTAATAACACGATGTTGTGCATGCTGCCACCTACGTCTTCTGATTCAGGCTTCTTGTGCACTGCAGCTCCACATTCGTAGGCATCCTTTGCTGAAGGCGGCTAGCATTTTGTGAGGGAGGCTCCACGAGGGACCACAGGCACAAGCGGCTCTGGCCACACTAGGGAGCGAAGCAAAACATTTCTCACCGGCGCAGCCACTTGTTCAATTGCAGCGAGGATGCCTCGATGCAGATTAGGAACCGGCAGTCACATCGGTGAAATGTAAGTAGCGGCTGGGGGGGCCTCTGCCAACACAGCTGTACCACTGACAGCAGTGGAATATTTTGCTCAAGTTCTCTAGAGGAATCAAAGCCTGTATTTTCTGTCTCTGGCTCTCTCTTGTTCTGTTGCTCCTCACTCATTAAAAGAAAAGTCAGCCACACAAAGCACATGGTTGCTCTCTGTGTTTAAAAAAAAATAAAAATGTTTGGGGTAAAAAACCCAAGAGCCAAAGCTGTTTTGAATTCAGAGGCATGTAAACAGTACCTAGAGCTAAGTGGAATAATAATAATAATTAGTCCTTTTGTGTCATAAATATGTGCATTGCTGTCTGCTGTTTCGTTATGAGACAGCACAACTTCTGAGAATGTGCCTGATGAATATTTGGGGGAACTCTGCCTTGGCTGCAGCGGCGTAGGGCAGCACTAATGCCTCTGGCTCCTCCGGCTCTCTTATGTAACCCAAATCACAAGTTAGAGCCCAAATTACAAAGCATAAGCATGTGTATAATATTAAGCACATAAACGGTGCCCGAAATTACTATCCTTTTCCTGTAGGTCTGGCTTTAATCTATTAGTAGTTTTACTTCTGCAGTTCTATTGATTGCAGTATGTGCCGGTGCCATTCACGGTGTAATCAAGCCAAACCCCAAACCCCGCCCCCCCCCCATGAAGGCAGTAACCCAAACTTAACGAAGAAAGGCCAAAATCACTCCGGTGACAGGTAGGTGTAGCTCAAATGACTTATACCAAATCTCGAGTGTATGCAGTATTAAGATGCTGCGGAAAGCAGAATACAATGTCTCTGTGGCCGCTTTTCAGGCCAGGCAGAGCGGCAGGTTTTTGCACCCCAGCCCAGGGCATGGGTTAGCAATCACCTTCCTTTGCGTTTCCCCGCTTTCTTAGACACTATTTTTGCCATTAACATGCTGAGCTGCTTTCTGGAGTTTTAAGGTGTTGGGTGCTGATACAGTGAGCACCTCTTGTATCTGTTTAATCCAATAACATAACTCTGTTTTAATCTCCATGTCTGGGTCACAGGGTTTAAAAAAGACACTGGGCCAAATCCCCAGCTTGGCTACAACATGTGGAAATCTACTGAGAAGGCACGGAAGTCAGAAGAGATTCGACGTATTTGCACCCTCTAAAAAAGCTTTCAAGGGGCAGGGATGCAAGTGCCTAATTTCGCAGATGGATGCATATTAACACAAGTGTATGGCAGAGTTAGATCAGATTTCTATCAGGTGAGGTGGAGGGGGGGAGGGCTACCACACCAGGATCTAAAATAAGCTCATCAGCAAGTTCTCATTAATTTTAAAATTGAAAGGGATTTAATATGTCTTGCTTTTTTTCAGGAGAAAAAACTCGTTTCTTTTCAGCACGTGGCTGCTAAAGGGAACATGGCGTTTCATGGACTCAGGACCAAGGCAGGGCAAGAACAAAAAGGTTTTTCAGGGATTGGGAAGATTTTACATTTAAACATTAAAATAAAAAAGGCAAAATTTATTCAGGCACAAAGTCCAGGAGAAATCTAGGGGACAAGTGGACAGCACTGTCTGTAAAGAAGGGTGTAAGCAAGGATGGCAAAAAGATGGCCTGAGTGAGTCCATGGCATTAATGATTCTCCAAACATGAATTTCCTATACAAAGCCATGTGGGGGGCAAACTTCTGGGTTCCCCTGCAGAGCAAAGAATCCTGAGCTTGAAAAAGGGAGGCAGATTTTGTAAGGGATTTGCACATCATGTAGTGACTCTGGATTGCAGCTTTTAAGCATTACTAAATCGGGGAGTAGAATTGTTGCTATTGCTGTTACATACCAGGGTATCTCACTAATCCACACAATCCACTAAGTTGCTGTAGTTTTAGTCTGTGTTGATTTTAGATGAAATTATGGCCTGGACAGTTAATTTTTCTTAGTTTATCCATTCAAATCATATATAAATAAGATATCGAACAGAAGTCAAAACATGACCCGTGTTTTTGGTATACTCCCCATCATGTGAACCTGCCGGTGATGGAGCCCTGCACCCAGTTTACAAGTCAAACACAAAGGCAACTAAAACCCACAGGTCTTCTTGAAAAGTAGCCCCATTGGCATTAAATTCTCTGATTTTAATGCTATGGGTGGCCTATTCTGCTTATATTTGAGACTGCCTAGCCATTATGGGATTGCCTCCACTGGTCCTTTCCTTATATCAAGCTAATTACATCTTAATTTGAGGCACTTAGCCAGACTGAAAGGCTGGAGCGGATCCTTTCCACACACCAGTCGAGTTTAGAAATGCCTGTTTCTTTACAGGGGCTGATTCCTAAAGCAAGGGGCAAACCCCGAGGAACCAAGCAGCCTGGAACCAAAGTGGTCACGCTGGCTTTTGGACAAAGTGAAGTGTCTCAAGTTAATTGACAGTCAGCTACCTGGAAATAAAAAAACTCTCACATACCCAAAGGTTTTCACCAGGATTTCCAAGAGCTCCCGAGCAATTTAAAGTCCTTGAAAGGAATGCATTATAGAATGAAAAATATAGGTATTATTAAAGAATGTCTTCAAAGCCAGCCAGTTTCATAAAGATGAGCTAAAAACCAATAACAGGTACTCTGTCTCCTGCTGGATGCTGTATGAACCCTATGTTTTGCATTTTTGAAGTCACTTCTAAACCAATGGGTTTTTTTCTTCACTGTTGCCGTTGGGAAAAACGGTAAAAGAGCTATGCATAAATCATAGAATCATAGAATCGTGTAGATTGAAAAGACCTTTCAGATCATCAAGCCCAAAATGAGGTTGAAGTAATCTAATTAAAAAAATAAACAGCATGCTTCAATTCCTATCCAGTCAATTGGGATCAAACTTAAAAAAAAAAAAAAATAGATAAAAATTCAGAAAGGATTTTGAAGGCCGACTGTTTCCCTTTAAGATTAATGATAAACACACTTGTGTGTTCAAGGGAGAACAGACCCAGTGTTATGTAACAGGATAAAGAAACAAAATCCTTTTTTCCTTAAATTAAAATAACCAGTAATGTGCGTGGATTTTAGTCAATCGCCGAAAATTCAGGAAACCCATTTTCTTTCACAATTGCATTCCGCATGCTAAAATTGATGTAACTTTTAAAGAGAATCACAACAATTAAAGCCCAAAAAGATTTGTTTGTTCTGTTTGACCACGCTTTGCCAATAGCAGATTGTTCCCCGAGGAAAATTCTGCGGCACTTGCCCTGTGCAAAAATCCAAATTTGTGCTCATCTTTTAATTTTATGTGGCATTAGTAAATCCAGTTATTGCACTTCCCAGGTTTTTTTCTTTTTAATCTGCTTACCTAGTACTAGATGTATGGTAACTTATCTCTTTTAATAATTTTTTGCCTGAACTAACTATTACATAACAGTCCTTTTCAAATCTTGTAATGCCTGCCTAAATTTGCCAAAAATGGGACAAGATCAACAGGTAATGGATTTTTTTTTTAATGTTGGTGTTGTTCTTTGCTGGCTCAAGCATATAACATTTGCAAAAAAACACAAAAGAAGATAATTTTCTACCATATACTCTGCATTTTCCACTTCTGCATTTTACAAAAGCACTCATACCAGAACTTCTGCATCAGAATTTGATACGTAAAGTTCCTCTTTATCACGTGAATTCAATTTTCCAAAAGAAGGCAAATGATACTATTAATAACCAAGATACAAGCCCTGAAAAGGCTAAGTCTCTGAACGTACTTGCTGCAACAAAAAAGTCATCTTGTTGGATCTAATTCTGGAGTCATTATCTGACACGGCGCAGAACAGTTTGAGATTTGCATGGAAAGGCACTGCCGAGTTAGGGCGATACTCTCGCATGAAAGCAGCATGACAGCAGCATGTATGTGCTTGGCTGAGCTGCTCGGAGCTTTGGCTGCAGACCACAGTAAATCCTGCTTATGTTGGCCTGTCCTTGCCCATGTCCACGCTTCATGTTTTCAGTCCTGAAAGTAAAGCTTCAAGTCTGGGCAGTTTAAGTGATGTTCCTTCAATGGAGTGGGTCCTCTGCAAGGGCCACTCCAGCAGCACAAGGCGTGCTTGGAGACGAGGCACATTGTGAACGTGCCCCTTTCCCTGCTGATAACGTACTCACTGTGCTGCAGCTAAATATTCTGCTGCTGCATGGCCTGCAGAGAGATTTCCATGGCCTCTCAAGCAGAACAGCTCCTGCAGGGCCGTGATGGTTACATGGGTGCTGCAAAGGTGATGTGAAAGTTGGGAAGCCATACAAGGATGTAGGGTAGGAGATGGGGAAAAAGTTGTGGTAGAACTCTGAAAGCAACAAAAGGTCAGCAGGGTCTGAGGCTGCCGGGCAGAACCACTTCCATTTCCATTTGGAGCTGGTCACTGAGCTGGGCAGGCTTGGCCTGACCCCATCCTAGGTGACAGTGGGCATCACAGTGGAAAACAGTCCAGAAATTTATGGTGGTGAGCTCACTGATGCAATCGAGCCCTCTCGACTTATGTGACTGATCCAGGCAAGCCGACGGATTAAACTCACTGAAGAGGAAGAAGAGTGATCACTCGAGTGAATTCCTACCTGCTCATATTTCTTTTTATTTGCTTATGGGTCCCTCTGCTCCCTTTCCTTTCAAAGCAACGGTGAAACACTTAGGAAGAGTGTATAAAAAATGATTTTAAAGTACCTAGTTTATTCTGACAAATTACACTGGCAGGTGTAGGCAAACACTAAGAGAAAATACTGTAAGAAACAAAACCATTCCCAAATGCATGCTTTTACCGGCTCAGACAGTTTCTAGCGAGGTGAATTAATGCACTGCAAGCAGAGGGAGAAAGAGCATCGAATGCTTGAGCCTCCAGAAAAAACAGAAAATTTCAAAGAAGCCCTGCAAGCTCTCCAGTAACCGTTCATCCAGTTACATGATTTTAATTAACAAAACTAGAAAGCAAACATGTAATATAAACTTAAAAACACAGCGCTTCGGTTTTCCGGACTACCGGTCCAAATGCAAAACAAATTGTTTGCATCTGATGGCAGGGGAGGCACAGCCGGCTTTGGGAGCTTCGCTTTTAACCGGCAGAGCGATGTAGCAGCATCCGCTGCGCTGCCCACTCAGGGTGGTTCAGACAGCTCCTGGCATGCCCGTGCCCGCCGTCCCCTGGCACAGCCTGGGCACAAACACATGGCCCGCGTGCTCCGGGGAGGATGCCTCGGCCTCCACCTCGGCGGCAGCACGTTGCTCCATAGGGCAGCAATGTCACCGAGGAGGGGCCAGCGGCTTGCAGGCTTGGGTGACCTTGAGCCTCCCCAAGCAGTTACCTTTTGTGGGCCTTTGGCATGCTCTCAAGTGATCTTTCAGCCAGAATCTCCGCTGCCTAAAATAAGTTCAGCAATATTCCCTGCGGCATCCCTGCACTTCTCTTTCGGGATACCTGACTTCTCTCCCAACCTGGGCAGATGCAGGTTTAGGAAAGTTTATCTGGGTGCTTCCTGGGCAGCGAGCTCCTGACCTGGCCCGAGGCCAGTGTCACTCACTTGGTGGTGTTATGAGGAAAGGCAGAATTTTAGGGAGTTTTCTTGCCTGTCCCTGTATCCTAATGGTGTTGCATATCTGCTATGTTGTTTAGATGCAGCTTTGACAAATGGTATTTTTACAAGGCAATTCCTACCCACCTCCTGAAAAAGTGACCCATTTCAGAAGAGGAGAAGCTGGAGTGAGGGGGGTTTCTTCTCTGACCTTTTTTGAGCCTTCAGCACAGGGCCTGCGGGAGAAGGGGCTGGCGGCGAGGGACAGAACTGCGAGGTGGCACACCCCCAGGAGCCACACAGCTCTGGAGCAAGCCAACACAAATGCTAAGGAGAAAAAAAAGACCAAAACCCCATGCAATGGCAGCCTCACCCTGCCTGGCCAATGCACATACATGCACGTTGCATTCCCAGCCCTCACCTTGTCACCATCGAGTCTCTCCTCTGTATAAGCCCAGCCAGAAATAGGGAGAGGTGACCGGACCGATGGACACAACCAGGGATTCAGGAGCAGCCGCCACTTTGTGTTTGGCTCCTTACTGGTTTTAGAAATACTTCTCTTTCTGAAAGTTGTGAGTTATTTACTGTTCCTCAGGAAAATGGCATCTGATCTTCCCTTCACATGTGGTTGATAAAGTTTGCAAACTGTTTTTTTTTAAATGCCCATCTAAGCAAAGTAGCATGTAATCACAATGCTGCATTAGCGTAAAGCAACACACAACATGAGCTTGTAAGGCCTCCCTCGAGCTACCCAGGACTCTTTCCGTTACCTTGGGCTCAGGTTGGTGGGGCGCACATGAGCCCTGTTGCCCCACTTGGCCCCGCAGCTATTATGTCAAACACAACACGAACCAGTAATGATGGGGGTCTTTGCCTCCCTGAGATCCACCAACACAGAAGATCACATCGGGATCCTTCCAGTCTGGCAACTATGCATTCAGCTAGGACTGCCCCCATAACGGGCATGTTTTCCCTGCCAGGTACCCACTACTGGTCCTGTGAATCAAGAAAGCAAAGTGCTGGATGGGTCCAGCGTACGGCAAGGTGGCCTTACCCTGCCCAGCAGGCAATACCAACCCAGTGTTGCATCCTTGCAGAGAGCGGCTCAGCATGAAGCACTAAAAATCCAGCTTTACACCTCTAAATCTCTTTGGCCAAGGCTAGTAGGCTCTGATTTGGATCCATGCTCCATCTTACCACTTGCTCATTGTTAAATGGGCCACAAACAGTTAATATTCTGTGCATAGTTGGTCACAGGATGCCTGTAGCACCACACAATTTTCTCTTACTGTCTGTGTCAGCCAAAGACTGGAAGTTTTCTTATTTGTACTCCTTTGTGTTTGCCTGTTGGGCTTGTGAAGTTCATGGAGGGGAGTGTGAAAACTTGTCCTCAGGCTCCCACATTTCCTTTGGAAGCACATGCCAGTATCCTGTGGAGCAGCCAAAGTGGGTTCGGGATGCCCGCAGTGCTCACAAAGATGCCCTTGGTCCATGCTGCCCCGCAGTGAGTGCCAGTGGGGGGGACATGGGCAGCACGGCTGGGGGGGCTGGCAGAGGAGCTGCATGGCCAGGCTGGGTTGTGGCAGTGACTGGGCATCATCCGGAGCTGCGAGGCACTGGGATTGCCTGGTGACAGAGCTGAATAAATGCACGGAGCAGAGGCACACAGTGGAGGGTGTGGGGGGCCCCTGGGAGCTTTTCCATCCTAATCCCCCGGAGGTCCTGCCAAGCCACGTGGAGAGGGGTATGGCATTTATGGAGGCACATCCACTGGCCTGCTGGAGCTCAGGGCACAGACACCACCTCCAGCCGGAGTAGCAGACACTGCCACATGGCCATTCCACCTGGCTTAAACTCAGGTTTTCCCCTCAAGCTGATTTCTGCCATCCCAGACCTCTTGGCAGCTTTGCAAATGTTGCTGCTTGAATTTCACCTCCCTGCTGGGAGACCAAGCTCCCAGTTCTCCCAGTAAGATACAGGTTTGAGTCCAGGTCATATTTCTGCTGTTCTCCACCAGCATCACAGCTGTTTGCTCCAAACATGAAGATATTTTTGTCAGAGCAAAAGCATGAATTATTTCAAACTTGCCTCAGGATGAATTTTCAAGGGTACTGCGGAGACTGTTTCCACAACAAAA